AAAAGAATTTATTGACTTCTGAAAACAATTTACTTTTGCCATCCACTATACTTCTGGGCTTCTTCCACAACCACTAGAATATGACAAAAACAGAAACCATGTTCATCATCCAAAAGCAAACATAATTAAAGAAACAAAATTAAAATATTTCAGTCCTATATAAATGAACAATTTTAATAACAATTACCATGGATTCTCACTGCTTCTCCTTTTATCAGTTAGCTCAGATCATTAAAATTTGACTACATACATATATATAGGTCTGTAAAATAACCCCAACTCTGCTGAATTATCTGAGTGTTCACTAACGTTCTAGGAATTCAGCAACAGTATGACCGAATGGAAAGAAAGCTGAATGAGTTGGGGGTCTCTCCCTAACTACTTAAATGGCTCTTGTCAAGCAAATTTCTGTCTTCACCTAAAAAACTTGCTCTAGATCAAAGACTCCTGATTAGTACACCACAGTGAATGTGATACAGGTATGCCTAGGATAGTGACCCTCCTCAGCATTTGTGTGGCTGTCTATGGCCTGGGCTGTCATAGCCCCTAGGCTGGTTGTCTCTAGCCTTCAGCAGTCTCTTCTGGTTATCCGACTGTGTAATACAAATATCATTTTCAACACGTGCCGACTTCGGTAAAAGGTTGGAAAACACTGGTATATCAGGATTTCTCAACCTCAATACTATTGACATTTGGGCCAGATAAGTCTTTGTTGAGGGGGGAGGGGGGCTGGCCTGTACATTCTAGGATGTTTAGTAGCATCCCTAACCTCCACCCACTAGATGGTAGGAATGCCCCTCATTCTTCACCTGTGACAACTAAAAACGTCTTCAGACATTGACAAATGTCTCTTGGTTGAGAACCACTACACAATATTTATTATCACTTCTAATTCAAAAACATAAAAGTTCTAACACATTTAGGAGGAAGGTCTTCAAAGTATCTAAAATCCTAATTAATCATTTCAGCAAAATCAATCAACAAATAATGCATTTTATACTTACCAACTCTGCTGTAAAGCAGCTGTATACTTGTAAGCTGAATATCAAAGGAATCATAAGCTCTATGCATTATTTCTTCAAGATTAGCTCCACCTTGTTTCACATCCGGTAATTCTGAACGACTTTTACTTGCCACCTTGAAGTGAATTGTAATAGTTTAGACTATGCAAAATACTTCAAAGTGTAAGTATAAAGTTTTTACCTTTCATATCTATAATATAAAAATTTAATAGGAGAGGATAAACTCACAAATGAACATACATTACAAGGCTATTAGAAGGTCCTTATCCATGAGATGTATACTAAGAAGTCCAGGGATAAAGTGAATTTTTACATATTTAGTTATATTTCCCATTCACTTATATTAAAAGAGAGGAACCAAGAATGTCCTAGAGAATAA